CAAACCAAAGGTGATATCGATAGAAGCTGTGTTTTTCGTTCATGGATAGAAGCTATGCTTCTTCCAAGGCGAATTAATATAAGGTGATAGCAGGAGTACAAAAACAAAAATTTACATGTATTTTGTTTTTGCTTTGGCGGCATAAACTGTCAAAATCTGTAAGAGAATAGGTTCATTCCTTATCTTTTTGGACTAAAATCTGAAAAATGTCAAAATGCCAGAGCGTAAGCAAAATGCGCTCACTAAAAGAGAATAACAGGAAAAGTAAAGGAACGCATAAAATCAAATTTTTAGTCCAAAGAATGGCAACAACAAAGCTAACGTCAAATAAGAATGGAAATGTATGTACAAAACACATTCCCACAAGCACAAGCACAATAAACACTTACTATATCAATTATTTTTTGCCTCCTTCCAATTTCAATTCACTTTTTTTACTTTTTAGATTATTCTCACTTTTTGCATATTCTTAGTTTCCGTTAATTTAAATTTAGTTGAGTTTGACACTTTTCACGATTTTGCCAGAAAAAATTCTTCTGACTAAATCTGACTACTTCGGACTGATGAGAGTCACTCTCACTGGGTGTTGCTCTCTCATTTTAGCTGTCATTTCCGAGTTAAGGAACGCTTTTTGGACTAAATCTGACTACTTCGGACTTTTTCTGACTATTTCTGGGAGATAAGGAACGCTCCTTATGTGTAGAAATTCAAACAAAATTTGTCAATTTGATAACGGAAGCCGTGCGGCGAAACACATACACAAAATCAGCTGAGCTAGTAACACCACCTTATATAAATTCGCCTTGGCACGCTTGTGTCAAATTATCGTCTGTTTTGCTTTGTTTACATATTCGCGTATACATACACATATACGTAAATATATACCCTGCAAACAAATGCTACCGAAATCTTTAAGAGTATCGGAAATTTGTTACGATTATTTTAGGAATCTTTAAAAACATATGAAGCGGTTGACAAGAACTAGTACAGAAATTTCTGTACGATTTCTTGGAGAAAATTCTTTAAAAAAATTGTGAAACCTTTCAGAGTTCTATGAAATCTTGTATTGCAGGGTATACATATACATACCAATACGAATACATAAACCCGAAATCTCGACGCCATCTTTGCTGTAAGAAGTAAACAACGAAGAGAACGGAGAAAACCGCGAAATTGTTGAACGCATGAAAAATCATTTTTATTATGCAAATTCTTCTAAAAATCATGCCGTTGTGTTAAATTATTCTTTATCTTATGTGTACACACGTTGTCACAAGCGAAAATGAAGAAAATTGCAGTAAAAAGCCACCACCAAATTGTAAACAACGAAGAAATGTAAATAAACGGCTAATGTCAAAATCGTTCAACTTTTTTCCTTAATGCGATTCTAACGGGCTACTCTCCTGCCCGCGTGATCTTGTCTTTTTGGTTCATGTGTTTCGAAGGTTGCAAGTTTTTGCAAATTTTGCGTTCTCGTACTTTTGTTGATATTTCGTCTCTTTGAGAGCGAATGCTGCTAACTTCTCAGAACTTTTGCTGCAGGAGAATTTTGTCCTCTCAATACGAGTACACACCTTATATCCATGAACCAACGACTACAGATCACCTAATCAGCCATCGTTGTATTTGTAATCGATTTTCAGAAAAAAGTTTTCGTAGCGTTTTTGACGTTTTTCGGTTTTGTTTACACCGTCTTCTACCTCTTCGTAGTGATTTTTGAGCGATTGAATGTGTTTTCTGCAGCGATTTTAATTATAAATTTTGGTTTATTACATATTTATGATATAAAATAAAGTGCTGTGTGATCGGAACAAGTTTGTGCGTATGTTTGGTTTGCCAAAAGGCGTAAATTTGCGTGAAAAGTGGGTGCACGTTTGTGGCCAGAACGTTGGCATTGAAAAATCTACCCGTGGTAATGATATGCGATTGTAAAACACTTTCAATCATTAAAACCATATTTTATGAACTTTTTTTGCTAATTGTCATCAAATTTCACTTTGTATATTTTATAATAAATACCAATTTAATCGCACTCAATCACCGCGCCTTTTTCGTTTTCTTTGTTTGTTTTCATTCTTAGGCAGATGTCAAAAACACTCAGAAATATACTTTTTTCTTGCTTCTTTGATTAGGTGATCTTGTATTTTTGGTTCATGCCTTATATCTGTCACTATAGTGACCAGAAGGCTGCACAAACTGCGGTGAAGTTCAGGTAGCCATCGGGAACGCGAAAGCCTCCATAGCCATAGGTTCCAACGGAACTTGCATGCTGAGGCTAAAAAAATTTGGTCCTGCGGGAGTAGATTATTTAACTAAGGTCCTCAGTTGTGTATGGCCACCCTCATCATTCCTGACATCTGGAAAACGGGGAGGGCGCTTCCACTTCTTAAACCGGGGAAACCAGCCAACAAAGGAGTCTTATCGCCTGATAACCCTCCTTTTTCCCGTAGCGAAGACACATGCGGCATAGCATGGGTTCCGTAAAGTGCACAGCACAACAACAGCACTTAACGTCATAAACACCCAGATAACTCGTGGTCATAACCGAGAGCGCACTTGTGAGAGAAGTGTTCTAGTAGCGTTGGATCTGTCAAAGGAGTTTGTCACCGTCAGCCACTCTACGCTACTAGAACACATTGAGGCTTCCTCCCTCACACAGGGACTCAAAAGGTGATAATTATCTGAGGTTCGATATTCGTCAGTCATTTTCAGAGTCAAAACCAACAAATCGATGATAGGGCAGGGTGGTGTCCTCTCCCTGTTGTTGTTTAATTTTACACATCGAAGCTCTCTCGACCACCAGAGCGAACCTCGATCGTCTCTTGACACTGCTGACAACTGCTCGATAATGACGTTTGGGAATGGAATCTGATGACTTCTGCTCGAAAGTAAACGGTTGCCTCTCTGAGCTTTCTCGCTTCTTCACTGCAAGGAGCCTAACCTTCTCCCCTATGAAATTCCCTTTTTACCACCTGGACGAAGGAGCTCAGACTGCAGCTGAGTATTCACGTCGACGACGAACCGATTCCGACGGTGAATAACCCAAAAATCCTTGGAGTTACCTTCGACAGTCTGCTCTTCTTCTCGACCTTAGCTAAGCCGGACGACAACTTGATGGACAAGACGACGCGAGCCGGACTTAGTAGCCGCTACAACAACAACAACAACCGATGAACAATAGGGGTATTCGCTGAATCTTGCAAAGCCCTTGCGAGGTGCACAACTTGCACGGTAAAATCCGGTTTTCGTATGGAACAGCTTTGCAATCCGTGCACCGTACAAGGGATTTGCAAGACTCAGAGAATACCCCTAATAATCTAAAAACAGTTAACAAACAAGATGTGAATACCTACTACGTTATACTTTCCAGTTTCAAGAACTTTTCGAGTGTAATGCTAGATTTCCACTAGGCATTAAATGGCAAAAATGACAAATGACAAAGTCGGGCATTTAAAAAAAATCGTGTCATTACATAAAAAAATGTTCATAAATTCATTTCCACGTGGCATTATTTTAAATGGTATACATTTTTTGTCATTTCAATGCCTAGTGGAAATTCGGCATAAGGGAGTCGAGTCCGATGAATATTTTTTTGTTTATTTTTATTGTTGTGAAAACTGTTTTCTCTTCAGAATATATGTATGTACCAAGGTACATTGAACAGGTAGTATCAGTAGAGCAGCTGATTTGATTTATTTTCAAATTATTTGGTCTCGAAAATGTCAAATATTTTTAATTTTTTCTCACGAAAATTATAAGTTGTTAAAATCCATTTGCTTGTGAAACCTTTTTCCATACAAAACAAGCGATTGAATAGCAGCTTTTGGAACGTTCGCCCAACTCGGCAGCACGACCGCTGATTACAGGCCTTGCAAAGGATGGATCAATGCTTCCAGAAGCAAACAAATTTACTAGGAAAGAAAGTTGCATCAATTTTTATTTTTTCCAATTTCAATTTTTTATTTTTTATAATTTTTGGTATTTCACATGGCACGCTTTGATTTAGAAGAAAAAATTCAGAACAGTTGTTGACACTTTCGATACCAGAAGCAACAGCAAAATACACGCAAATGTTGTTTTTGCTCTACTGATACTACCTGTTTAATGTGCCTTGGTATGTACATATGTATATATGTATGTATGTAAATACAGAAATCATGTTTGGAGCAATATTCATTTTGAAAGCTATCAGCAAACAGCCTATTTCCATCGCATTTATTAACGTTCAACAAACACATGCACTTATGGGTAAGCACATCCTCATTCCAATTATTTATTCAAATTTTTAACAAACAAAATTATAAAAACTATTTAATCTTTTTTATGCATAATTGTACATATGTATGGATGTAGGTTTTGAAGCTCGAAAATCTACAATAAATACATACATACATATTTATGTAATGTATAAAGCCTCAACCTACGTTTAGACAATTTGTTTGCGAAAAAGAGTCGCATTGCCGTTTCTAGGCAGACAGATACGTGTCTTCAATTTATTAAACTACTTTGAGCGAATCCGAATTTTGAGTCGACAAAATACAATACACTTGTTTTTTTTTCTTTTTGTTACTAGGGTGGCAAGTGTTCTACAATCTGTTACTTAATGACAATTATGTATAAGCAAATGATAAGTATAAACCATATAACTCATATTTCGCAATAAATTTCAAGGAAAAATGTACAAACAAAAATGCTTTAAACTACATAACTTGTGTTAGATGCTATAAGACATTTATGCGACAGACTGTCTTTGATATAAGGGCCGTCTTAATCAACTATTCCGTTTTATACACTACTCCACTTACTACAAACTTAAAAGCTAATTTTTTTGTCATTCTAATTTTTCGACATACATTTGTATGTATGTATGTATGTATGTACATATCGCTCATTTACTTCAAAAATGTCCAAACTCAACAAAAGCGAAATTTACATATCGCTAGCTTGGAGTAAAAAGTTGCTAAGTCCACTCTTTATGAAGACTCATATTTTAATACAAGAAGCTAGCGATATGTATACTCCCATAGTAAAAATGAACCTATATTTTGTTCAAGTGAGATACTGCTAATCGATACAGCTGTGAAATTTTTATACAGCTTCGAAGTAGACGAAGCGGTAATTTCTGCATACTCAACTGATAATTTATATTTTCTGGATTATGACACTATTGTAGTAAATGAGCAATATGTAGAGTTTACTCTAAATTATAACTGAGTCACTTTGTTCTTATTTTAATTTGCTCCATTTTCCAGACAAAGCCGGTATTATTTTAATTTCTTTTTTACAGTGAAAACATAATAGGGGAATTTTCGCAGTCTTGCAAAGCCCTTGCACGGTGCACGGATTACCTACAAGACTGCCAGGCTGTCCTATAGGAAAACCGGTTTTTACCGCGCAATCCGTGCAAGACTCCGATAATACTGCTATTATCAAAAGGATACTTTGCTGGTTTCTTTATTTTTCATTCTTTACAGCTTATTAGCTCTTATTTATACTTTTATTACCTTCTGCTGTGCATCTGTGTACGTTTAGAATCTAAATACACACACATACACGACTTTGATTTAGTTCGTTTTCCTTATGATATTTCAATTTGCTTAATTTTAGATTGTGTTGATCATTTAAAATAGATTCTGTTGCGCTGCCGTTAAATGCTAAATTATAACATACATAAGTTTTTCATTTTGATCATCAAATAACGTTCAACAAAAGCAAAAAGTTCATATTAATACGTTCATTAATTTTTTTTCTTTTTATGAAAAAACACTGTATGTATACGTATACTTAAACTAATTGAATATTTTATTATTTCTACTAATAAATAATATTTAAATCAAAAACACATACACATATTTATCATAATTTACATACATCAGATTGAAAAATCCTTTAGAAAATTAAGTATGTATATATAATGTACAAATTATATTAAATAAGTTCTCCACGGATTTGTAGAATTAGCAAGTTCATTTAAATTACGCTTAAAATGCGTATATGGAAAACCGGCGTGGGGTGGAAGCTATCTCTCCTTGATAGGATTAAAAAGATGTCAAAAATATTTTTGTATGTCAAAAATTATGTTTTTGTATTTGCCTTCCTTTTGATTTATTTATAGTGCTTATCATATAAAACAAACTAAAAATTCGTTTAAGCGTCACAGCACCAAATTTTTAATCTGTAAAACTGTAAATAAACGGGATTTTTAGCAAAATATGTACTCTGTTTTCATATGTAAATGAAAATGTATGTATGAATGCCATATATCGTAAGGAAATTTAATTACCTTATGAAGTTGTGAAATTTTGGGGCTTATGAATAAAATCTAAGCATTGCTTTTTCTATAAATTTCAGACCTTTACTTAAACGTCTTTGAATAAATAGAGTTAAAGGTCTGAAATTTTAAGAAAAAGCAGTTGCTTAGTTTTTATTCATAAATGTAAATCCATAATAATAATAGTTTGACGTTAACAGAGAAGGACCTGCAGACTCAAAACAGAAATACACTAGGAGGTTTGCCATTGCCTTCCGAGGAGCGACCGCTGTTAGAAACACTTTTTTTGTTCTAGATGTAGCTCGGATCAGAGATCGAACCCAGGTCCTAAAGGATTGGTAGTACGCAGCGCTAACCACTCAGCCTCAGCTGCCGTCTTCTATACCATTATATCAAATTGAAATACCAATTTTCGAAATCTAAAAACTCCTCGAAAAGTTTGCCGATTTTCATGATTTTTTTTTTTAACCTAACTTAATTCGTAACTGAGTTCCTTTTTTTTTTTGCTTTTAGTTATTTTATTATCATTAAAATAGCATGATATTATGAAAATAATAAAATTTCTAGCGAATTTCCGACTTTTTCAATGGCTACAGTCAACTGAAAACAGTTGTGAACGGCAATAGCAATAAATAGTTGAGAGGTCTCAGATACAACTCAACTAAGTTAGATGTAGAGTAGAGGGTCCTGGTATGCTACACCCCAAGCAACTTTAAATAAAAACCTGTATATTGCATTTATCAAATTATCAAAACGCGAGTGCTTTTCATTTAATATCAAACGCGGAGGAAAGCCAACGCGTTGTTAGGTTATAACAATGTTAGTTTTGAGTTCGATTGCTGCCCATTTACACATATTTCTCATCTCTAGTGGCCTACGAGCGTGAATGTTTGACGTGTTGTCAAATGCTCCCTCTATACAAACATAGAGCCCTATTTCACCTCATTCAAAAGCAACTTTGATTTCTATTTATCTACTATTGAGCCTCGATACTAGTCTAGAGCAGTAGTTTACCTCAGAATTTTCGAACACCGAAAAATGCAGTATGACTTCCCACCAGACCATTTTGTTAGGTGCTCCTAATGTTATTCATGCCAGCGTATATCCTTTTGTTAGTTTGAATAGACATGGAAGTTTTTATGCTTCACAGATGAAAAGTGAGGTGGAAAGTATTAAAAACTTGCACGGTCTACTGGGTTCGCTCTGAAACACACGCATAGAAAAATATCTTTCCAACACAACTCTACATCGTATATTTACGTAAATAAATAACCGGTCTGAAAAGGACTAGGGTATTTTTGCGTGTTAGTCTGCTTAGAGCGTCTGAAAAGTCAAGGATGGCGCATTCAGACATACATATGTCATATGTATTAAGATTAGGGTGGCCCAAAAAGTAAAGTCGGAATTTTATTGGTCTCTCCCTCTGGGATTGTTCTATGCCGCAAAAAAATATACCCCAATTTTTTATTTTAAAAACAAAAGATTGTCGTAAGCGCAATTTTGACGATTTTTAGTTCTAGATGCAGTTATATGTTTTGAAATAAGGTCTTTCGATTGGTGTTATCAGCTTTTAGATATCTCCTTTAGTTTCCGAGATATTGACTACAATTTTTTTAATAATTTAGTAAAAATTTAGTTAGTGACAGTCATATTACACTAATCAATATCTTAAAAATGGCGTTCTCCATTTTTGGATATCTCGTTTAATTTCCGAGATATTGAGTAAAAAGTGTCGTTAATTTTGTGGACAATGTGTGGACAAATGACGACGCTTACTACAAAATTTTACTAAAGAAGATTCTTCATAAACTCAAAATTAATAAAAAATAAACGTTAAAAATTAAATAATTTAAGAATTTGTGAACTAGTAACATTTTCAGAGACTTTGGAGAAAATCTATCTTCGCGTTTTTGAAAAATTGCATTCCAAACTTCAATCGCGATTTCCCACAACCTGCCGAAATTAACTTACGACAATCTTTTACCCAGGCGACGATTTGCACCCGATGAATTTTCAGGAATTTTTGCCCGTCGTTGCTATGAAAAAATGGTTAACAAAACAATTAGTTATTATTATAATAATAATTATCTATTGGGAGTCTTCTGAAGAGAAACAGAGTTTTTCGATTGAAAAATATTGATTTTCAAGAATTATATACCATTTCTACGAAGACAACTTTGAGCGCTTTGGTCGACCTCTAAAATATTTTTTGATTTCAAAATAACAAAATTGTGGTATATTTTTTCGGTATAGTACAATCCTAGAGGCTGAGAGCTTTAAAATTACGACCTTACTTTTCCACATGCATTTTTGGACCGCCCTAATGTACATACATATTGCTCACTAACTAAAATGCTGTCATTAACTCAAAAAACCTATTTTATTTTTTGTTTTATATTGTGTAGAAGTATTGTGTTAAGATCTTTTGTAGTAAGAACAAAATAATCATTCATTTCTTTTTTCTGTACATTGTGAGCAATTTGAAAGCTTTGAGCGCGTCTCCTTAAAACTACTGGTATTTTTTTGAGTTATGACAGTCTTGTAGTATCTAAATGAGCGATATGTACTTTTTTATCTAATTTTATTTAGTTTTGAACCCACCTGCTACCATAAACGATGCAAATGTAAATTTCTTGACAAAACCGAACGCACGTCCTTTGTAAACCTCAAGGCATCCAACATTGGAAGTAGTGATAGCAACGCAACATCCATTGGGTCAGAGAACCAACTCTTGATTGGTATCGCGTTGTTGGGAAAACAACGGTATGCACCAGGGGAGTTGTCAATTATGAAAATCTAAGTAAACAAAAATAACTGATAAGTAAATACATGTACATACATATATGTACACATGTATGTACATATATGCCAGAAAGTTTTCTATTATTTACTCTATTCAAATCACTGCAGATAGCAGATAAATCTTTGGTGTAAGAGCTAAAGTCAGGCGTACAATGCTGACGGTAATAGCGGCGACGCAAAATGTTGCGTCCGTTGTCCAGTTTATCAGCAACCGCTGCTCCATATATTTCCATACTGGCTGTAAATATAACTAAGTCATACCATTGTGAAACCTAGAGAGAACAATATAAAGATGAAATGAAAATATTCAAATATAATTCAGGTTATTTAAAATAGTATTTACCACATCCAAAAAATAATCCACATGCGGGCGTTTATGAACGAAGAAACGTACCGGATGGTGATCAATTATTACTTTGACCGTGAAGTCATGTGGTGTGCCCGGCTTGACGGTATTTCTCGACATAGCGCTATGATGAGAGTGAATAAGTGTTTCATCTAAATCCAGTACAAGTGTTTTCCGTTGTACAATTCCAAGCCGATGCCTTGACACCGGCGACAGTGGAAATAGTTCATATTTGACTGGCTGATATTGTACAATCTAAGGAAAATGCATTTAACCGTATTACATTTTAGTTGATGAACACATATAACAGTAAAGTTGGCTTCCGACATGGGGAATGTGAAAACTACAAATGAAATTAATATGAAACCCCTTTGAATCTTATAGAATCAAATGTTTGGAAAATACTATGCAGCACTTCGATAGTCCATTATCCACAACAGAGATTGACATGGAAAGCCAATTTTTGACCAAACCCATACTTATGTACGTGGAAAGTTACACCTGGCGCTCATTCGACAAAATTGTTGACTAATCCCCGGGCGGAACTAGTTTATCATCTCATTGCGAGTTGGTTATTTTTTGGAAAAAAATTGAATGTTAAAATCTCGTTATTTAAAATAGTAGGTCATATAAAATCCCTTACAAATATACAAAAATTCACACCTATTAAAATGCACTGGCCTAATGATGCGCTTCTCAACACCCCTAAAAGGAATCGTTGCGATTACATGTTCTGTCTGAGACAAGTGAATGAGCCGGCTTTATAATACCTGTGTAGTTATTTTTATGAACCTCCCATGTATCTATATATGTAGTTATAATGAATTAAATTTAAAAATAATTATACATATACCTAATTAGGAACTTTGTGTAAAACTAATAGCCTGTAAAAATATGTATTGATGTATTTCTGAAGACTTAGTAATTACCTAAATTAATATATTTTTAAGTTAATTTAAAATCCTTAAAAAATTAACTTACCGAGCGAACTTGTCTGTTGAACATAAAACAGATGCATGTCCACACTCTTGACAGAAGTACCGATAGAGCGCTGAAGTTCATTTGTACGAAAGAAAACATTGGCACACGACGTCGAGGGCGTCTTACCAATTAATAACATACGCTTACAAAAAGTTAATAGTAGCTGCAATGAAGATGGTAGTGCGAGTTTTCTCAATTGATTGTAATTCATTCATTTTATTTTTCGCTTATATAGTAAGAAGGAATATTTCGTATAGGTGTCCATTATAAAAACTTAATCGGAAAAGCGCGGCAATGATGCCTCCAGACGAGCAACAACAAAATCAATAAACGACTGCACCAATTTTCTTGCGACGAATTCTGAGTGAAGTATTAAATAAGACGGTGATTTTTACCTCAATAATGCAATTGATGCTACCTTAAAATTAAATAACAAAACGGATTTAAATTTGCTTTTCACCAGTGTTTGTATAAATTTATATTTTTCCGCTTTGTTTTCCCCAATCTCTTTCAGATACTTCCCAATTTCCGAATTTTATATGTATGTAAGTAGACGCGCAAGCCCGAACTATGGTCGACCGACGTGAACAGAATTTAAACAAATACGTATATCTCACAATCCTAGATTTTTTAAGTAAAAAATTTAGTTAAATTAATTATAAAATACTAATATACCTTTACTTACTAACAAAGTTTTTCGCGAACGTCATAATTATGTAAATAAAAGTAAAAAGCATGAAAAGAAAATGCGCTCTTGGCTTTTGGCCAAAATAGTAACGATCAGCGCAAATTTGATCATGTGAACAGCTCAACTTGTATGTATGTTGAAAAAACTGCACCAAGCATAAAATTCAAACTTCAAAACACTTTTTAATTCTGGATATTCTTGGGCCTGTAGTTAATAAAAGTTTTGAGCAAACAAATATAACCATCAAAACATTGGCAACCCTAAATATTTGCACATTCCCAATTTGCGGTACGCCACTCGCTTTACAACAATCCGCTCGTTTCAACTCTTTCTTTCGCTTTATCTATCTGCCGTTGTTTTTTTTTTTGCTCGTTTCTATTTTCCTATTTCTTTGTTGCCTTCTTCGATTTTCCGATTTTATCACAGCGATTTACCTATTTTACATCCAGTTACACCACCAGCTTTCCACTTATTTAGTTAGATTTAGACAAGCTTTTGTTAACATTTAGAATAAATTGTCTGTTGCACGTAAATTTTAGAAAAAAACCCAACTCGATTTTCCATCAACCGCTTCAGCCTCGACTACCTTTACGCTCTAGAGATGTCGAAAAAACATCGATGCATCGAAAATATCGATGTTTTGCTTCGATGCATCGGAAACTTCCCACAAGGTGTAACACAAGGCGAATTCATATTACAACAAACATCATTTTGAGCCATGATTCAATAACATGGTACAATAAACACAGGTAGAAGCCAAATTGGCATCAATACAAAAGTCAAAGTTTTCGGGAGAGTAAAAATAAAAATGAGCATGTGTAAGGAAAAATAAAAAATTACATTTCGCCGGTTGACGTTTTTGAGTAAATTTGAAGTTTTGTTTTTATTTTTTTTCTTTAGTTAAAATTTGTTAATTTGTATGTTGTTTTCTGTTTTTAATTTATGAGTTGGAGGGACTTTCCGACATAAGGGCCATAGGAACAGCACTTGGTATCAAAAGTGCCTTTCCTGTACGGTGCATTTATGAAATCTGCTGCTTTAAAATGTTTAACGCACAGCAAGGCATTTCGCTGCAGTTCTGCCCCAAAGCTGTTTTCGCAACGCTCTTTACGCGAAGGACATTGAGGCACGTTAAAAACAATTAGTTGTATCTGCTTCATATTTAAAACCACATAAAAAACAACGCTTCAGGTGTTGCATTTTTAACACATACACTTCTACCTGTATTAATGTGCCTTGATTCAATTATTGAATCATGATTTTGAGCAAAGCGAAACTATACAACAAGGCGAATTTATACAAGGTGGTGTCAAGGCGTATTTAACAAGGTGGTGTTGGCCGTATATAAGTAAAAAATTACACTAACAAATTATACGCTGATGTCCATACTGTCATTGGTATGAGTTACAACAAACACATCATTTTGACGTAATGGCCTCCACGGCGAAAAACTCAGCTGTCGCCCCAACACCACCTTGTTTAATACACCTTGGGTGGTGTTGTAAAATCAGTTGATTTCTTCGCTTTACATGTATTTTGTTTTTGCTTTTGAGGTGTGCGAGGGTGTGCTGTCAAATCAGTAAAAGCAAACAACAACACATGTAAAGCGAAGAAATCAGCTGATTTTACGACACCACCTTGTATAAAATCGCCTTGAAAACCACATTGCATAAATTTGCTTTGGTTATTGTTGTCTTGTCTCAAATTAGCCCGGTGCTAATTTTACTGGTTTTTACTGGATGGCGTTTTCGTACGCAAAAACTTGCAAGAAACTAGCAAAAGAGAGGAAATTGAGAGAGCAGAAATGATAACTGAACTTGTAAGTTTCCCAGGATTTTTACCGGATAAATTTTTACTAGGAACTATTCGCTAGTGAGAAAAACAGCGGGTGGCAGATGCTTAGTGTAATTCACATTGCCTAAAGAATTGTTTGTGGTGCTTTTAAAGTTGCAATTGACAAAATAAAAGTATTTACATGTATAATAAGATGGGAAATACTATTTTTCTTAGAAAACTGCTACGGAAAATAACAAATTAATCAGCTGTTCATGTTTTGCGTTTTAGTACTTTCTTGCATATTTCTCTCATTGAGAGTAAATATTGGCTTACTCTCCGAAATTTGGTTACTGGCAAAGAACGTAGATAACCAAGAATGATAGAATACAAGATTGCGCCCATCAGAGGAGATTTTTGAAAATACTTTTGTGTGATGTCACACTGGTGCAATTGCGAGAGAGAAATGCCAAAACGTGCGCAAGAATGGAAGAAGAAAAAATGTTGCAAGGAAAACGTAAATAAGTTGCACAAGTGTGACGTAATACAAACAACGATTCTGTCAAATTCACTTAGAGAGGAATAGCGGTACCGTGATGGTTCTTTGGTTACTGGCAAGTTACTGGATGTTTTTTTGCTGGAAAATACGAAAACACAACTGTTGTCTTATGTAAACACAGCGTCATTAAATACGCCTTGAATGCACCTCTGTAACGCCCGGCGAATTCAGCTAGCAGGCAACGTCAACTGAGATTTTAGTTTTCTCAAGCGTCATTTTGGTTGCGAAAAATGTGGATTTAATTTTTTTACACGATGTTTCATTTTAGAGCCGTTTCAAATAATTATATAAATGTATACAAGTGTTAATTTTGTGAAAGTAGTTTCTTAAACTGAGTTATACCAAGTGACTAAAACTTAACCGATATCGGCTGGTATTGGAAAAGTCGGAGTAGCGATCCAAGTATATGTAGAGCAAAATAATTACTTAAAACACACAAGGCCGATAAAGTTCTGACTGTGAAAAAATTGTCTGCAAGAAACGCAATTTACCTTCGGCTATAAAAGCCGAAACCTTAAATTTTTTTCCTCCCCGTTAATTAAAAACCGCTAAAATTGTGGAAAAACAGGAGAAAACTCCCAAGCGGAAGAAGAAGGCTGCAGCCAGTAAAATGTCTGCAGTTTATTCGCCGCAACCACCGCAGCAGACGGCGCCCCCGGGCGGCGTGCTGCAACCGCCGCAGCCGCAAACGCCAACGTCGATGCAGCAGCAACAACAACCAGGTGTTGGTCCCGGTGTAGGGGGAGTCGGAGGCGTTGGCATGGGCGGGCCATCCGGGGTACCAATGGGATCAGGGGGCCCAATGCAGCGAGGACCTTCCATGGTTGGAGGTGGCGGTGGACCAGTTGGACCACCCTCTGTGACAAGTGGAGGCATGATGGGCGGTGTTGCCCCTCCGCCATCGTCACAACGAGGTGGAATGCCACCATCGCCTAGTCCAGCACAAATTCAAAAAATACTTGATGACAATTGTGGTCTTATTCAGACAATTCAAGATTTCCAAACTATGGGCAAGGCGCAGGAGTGCATGACATATCACATGGCATTACATAGAAATCTCGTTTATTTGGCGCAACTTGCTGATCCGACAATGAACATTGCCCAAATATTGCCGGTAAGTTTTACTTCCAAATACATAGGCATATTTATATTGTTCCAACTTTTCTATATGTGAATCGTTGGAACATCTGTAGCATCCACACGTACTTCAACAACAGGCCGCTCAACACCAAGGCCCACATAGCATGATGGGTGGGCCTCAGCCCCCACAACAGGGTGGACCTCCAACTGGAGGAAATCAACCACAAATAGGAGGTATGCCACCAATGACACACGGCGATGGAAATGTGCAGTCTCCGTCTGGAACACAAATGCCCTACGGCAATCAACCTCCGCAATCGCATCCTGGGATGCCACCTAATTCGCAACAACCCCAGCAAGGTCCACCTCAAGGTATTAATTCTCCACAAACTGGACAGCAGCAATCTCAACAACAGGCCGGGGCATATCGTGGCACTTCGACACCTCAATCTACCAATCAGCAACCCCCACCTGTCTCAGGTGCAGGATCAAGTAAGCGTAAAGTCTGTAACAACAAAACCAATAAGTTTCTTAACTTGAATAATATTTTTAGATCAACAACGGTCAAATATTCAACCTGGGCAGCAGCCTGGCCAAGGACCACAACAACAGCAACAACCTCCAACACCCCAGCAGCAACAACAAGGTCCACCACCACAGTCACAATATCGTGGCGGTTATCAACAACAACAACACGGTCATTACCCTGGATATCCTCCACAAAGCCAACCATCGTACCAACCACAAAGCGGCTATGCCTACGGACCACCCACTCAAGGTTATGGACCGCCACCGCCAAATGCACAGGGCGGCTATCATCATGCAGGTATGCCTCCGACATCTTCAACAGTTGCCGGTCCCCCCGGTCAACACGGTTATGCCAATGCTGGCGGTCAGCAAGGTCCACCAGGTGCCTATCCTCCGCCTCCGCCCAATCAACAAGTTCCACCAGGCCAGCAACCACCGCCTTCGCAAATGTATGGCCCACCAACTGGCGGACAAGGGCCACCACCACCGCCGAACCAATATGGTCCACCTCAAGGAGGGGGTAACGCCCCTCCACCAATGGCCTATAGTGGTTATGGTGCTCCTCCGCCTAGTAGTTATGGCCAAACGTCAAACGCTTTGCCTGGTGGTTATGGACCGCCTCCACAAAGCCCTGCTCAATCTCCATATCCACCACAGTCGCCATATCAGCAGAGTGGTGCACCAGGTGGATATCCAGGTCAGACGTCACAACAGCCTCAGACACCACAGGGAACGAGCGGCGGCTACAGTACTTCACCAAGTCCCGGCCAAACACCTCCATCACCATCAAATCAACAAGCACAAAACGCAGGCAATCCGAATGGACCAAATGCACCACCTGTAAGTGTGCAATCCACGTCTCCTTCGACATCGTCTGGGAATATTGGTGTCAATAGTGGTCCGCCCAATCAACAAGCACCATCTACTCAACAGCAACAGCAGCAACAACAACAGCAGCAATACGCTACGCAACAACCATCAGTTTCAGGCGGTCCGCCACAGCCACATGGCTCTACAGCCCAACAACAACAACAACCTGTTTACTCTGCAGGAACGCCTTCCGCAGGTCCATCGCCATACGGAGCACCAACACAACAACAGCCGCCTGGGCCAAGTGGACCCCCTACGGGACCACCAAATACCACAGCACCGCCAAATGGTACGCCACCAATGCCCAATCAACAATATCAACCGCCACCAACTGCACAACCTTATGGTGCGCCGCCACCACAAGCATACGGGCCACCACCACCTGGCGGAGGATACCCTGGTCACGGCTATCATCAGCCGCAAAGCGGATACGGTGCTATACCTCAGGGACAATATCCACCTTCGCAGAGTTATCAAGGATATCGACCCACCGGTGGACAAATGCCGCCGCCAGGTGCACCACAAGGCCCGCCAACTAACGCATATTCATACTACGGCAATCAGCCACCACAGTAATGTATGTACATACATAAAGTAAAAGAAATGTACGACTACAGAACTACGACTAACTACAGAATTCATTCAATGACTACATAAATAAATAATCATGCTAATATTACAGCGCAATGAGTTGGTAAGCTCAATTGGGATCAAACACATTGACTTTATATACTCAATGCCAAAAGCCATTAGCGCAGAGAGAAGGAATATACATAATTGGTGCAAGTTAAAAATGGTTCGAATATAAAAGAACGGCTATGGTGAAATGATTAGAATATTTGGTAAATCGGGAGAAATTCAAGTTCAATTTATCCATGTGGATANCCATGCTAATATTACAGCGCAATGAGTTGGTATCAAACACATTGACTTTATACTCAATGCCAAAAGCCATTAGCGCAGAGAGAAGGAATATACATAATTGGTGCAAGTTAAAAATGGTTCGAATATAAAAGAACGGCTATGGTGAAATGATTAGAATATTTGGTAAATCGGGAGAAATTCAAGTTCAATTTATCCATGTGGATATAAAGGTTCCAAAACAATTTTTAAACTTGTGGCAAATGACTAAGCTACGAAATTGAAAAATGCTCATTTCCCGAACTTAAAAGATCGCGCCCTTTGCAGCGAATTAATTTTAATTTTATTAGTAGGACAACGTTTTGAATATACCCTTTTTATTAAGTTTCGGCACACTAGTCTTTTTTCACACGGTCTAAGCAGACTAATGCCGAATTTCCGCTGGGCATTGAAATGACAAAAAATTTATGAAACCGGTTATGTACTTGTGTACATATATGGTATATATGTAGTTGTGTAANTTTTTGAATATACCCTCTTATTAAGTTTCGGCACACTAGTCGTCTTTTCACACGGTCTAAGCAGACTAATGCCGAATTTCCGCTGGGCATTGAAATGACAAAAAATTCATTAAACCGGTTATGTACTTGTGTACATATATGGTATATATGTAGTTGTGTAAGATTTTTCTATCTGTGTTCATACCGCATATATCGGCGGCTGAAATTTCTGAGGTAAAATACTACTCCCTTCCATTTTACACACATGGAAAGTCGGTTTCAGACGGTGTGAAAAGATTAGTGTGTTGAGGCTCATTGACTATTTTATGCCTGTATATCGAGCCCTTACCGCGATTTTGATGTTGATCAGTGTTTTGAAAAAAAAAAGATTTCGATAAGGCCTAAAGGAGTTAAACCAACTGGATTTAGAACCCGCTAAAAATGCTAATGAAAATAATATCTATTTATTAATAAATATATATATGTACATATCGTTACCCTAATTCATAAAGGCCCTCCTAACCAACACTTTTTTCGAAAATGATTTTTTCAAGGATTTTGTTATGATGTGTTGAAAAACACCTTCAATAAAAATTTTAATGTGTTAGTACCCTTGCTGTTTATGATGCTCTTTTTATGTTTTTGCTTCTCCTGTAAAATAAAAATAAAAAAAAAAAATGTTGGTTAGGGCTTTTGTGAATTATGGTAACGAAATATAAATAATGTTTTCATTTTAAGGGAAGACTTGGCGAAATTTTTGTCTAACTGTAATTTTTTTATTTTGTTAGTTACATCAAAATTGCGGTAAGGACTTTATATCCGCTAAATTATGAAATGTTAAAACGAAAACTAATGTTTATTGTTTCGCGCGTCAAACATAAAAAAAAAGAAATTCCTAATACTATAATATCTTTAATAAAATTAAGTGTAAAGATTTTACAACAAACGTAAGTCGAAATACAATGANCATCGAGCCCTTACCGCGATTTTGATGTTGATCAGTGTTTTGAAAAAAAGATTTCGATAAGGCCTAAAGGAGTTAAACCAACTGGATTTAGAACCCGCTAAAAATGCTAATGAAAATAATATCTATTTATTTATAAATATATATATGTACATATCGTTACCCTAATTTATAAAGGCCCTCCTAACCAACACTTTTTTCGAAAATGATTTTTTCAAAGATTTTGTTATGATGTGTTGAAATACACCTTCAATAAAAATTTCAATGTGTTAGTACCCTTGCTGTTTATGATGCTCTTTTTATGTTTTTGCTTCTCCTGTAAAATAAAAATAAAAAAATTGTTGGTTAGGGCTTTTGTGAATTATGGTAACGAAATATAAATAATGTTTTCATTTTAAGGGCCTTGGGACTTGGCGAAATTTTTATCTAACTGTAATTTTTTTATTTTGTTAGTTACATCAAAATTGCGGTAAGGACTTTATATCCGCTAAATTATGAAATGTTAAAACGAAAAATAATGTTTATTGTTTCGCGCGTCAAACATAAAAAAAAAAGAAATTCCTAATACTATAATATCTTTAATAAAATTAAGTGTAAAGATTTTACAACAAACGTAAGTCGAAATACAATGAAAAGCATGTAATAATGTTTTAATCAAACGTATCTTAATCTAAACAAATAAAATTATGCATCCTCATCTAATATTGACTACGGAAAATTGTATCCATTTATTAAAACAGTTAAATATGAACCTGTCTTAATAGATATCAGATATTGTAGTTTACATTTGGTTGACAAGCCGCCGGGCAAACAATTTTTGTTTTTTTTTATAACATTTAATATCACCACTATCTTAATAAAACCGTTTATGTGTATTCGTCACATTTATACAAAATCAAAAAGAGTTTTTCTTGCTTACATTATTTAAGTATTTTATAGGTCTTAAGCAGGGATAACACGATTGGTACATTTGGCAGTCACAGAGTGGTATTGTCTAGGAATTGTTAACGATAATGCGTTCAGGGCAATAACATCTTTCCAAACAACACCACTTTGTAACAGTTAAAATGGACAAATCTGTNTATACAAAATCAAAAAGAGTTTTTCTTGCTTACATTATTTAAGTATTTTATAGGTCTTAAGCAGGGATAACACGATTGGTACATTTGGCAGTCACAGAGTGGTATTGTCTAGGAATTGTTAACGATAATGCGTTCAGGGCAATAACNAATATTGTAGTTTACATTTGGTTGACAAGCCGCCGGGCAAACAATTTTTTTTTTTTTATAACATGTAATATCACCACTATCTTAATAAAACCGTTTATGTGTATTCGTCACATTTATACAAAATCAAAAAGAGTTTTTCTTGCTTACATTATTTAAGTATTTTATAGGTCTTAAGCAGGGATAACACGATTTGTACATTTGGCAGCAGTCACAGAGTTGTATTGTCTAGGAATTGTTACCGATAATGCGTTCAGCGCAATACCATCTTTCCAAACAACACCACTTTGTAACAGTTAAAATGGACAAATCTGTACACATCGTGTGATCCCTGCTTAAGTGTTTGGCTGAGCTTCTCCGATTTATGGCGTGCGCCTTATGGGAGGGACCTACAGTTTTACGCTGACTCCGAGAGGAGATTGTGGGCCTGTTCGAAACACGTAATAAAAGGGGCATTACTGCTGCACTGTTGTAACTGCTCAACTTACAATACGATGCCAGAAAGTCACACCGAAGGTGATTCTTTAATAATTCGCGCAACACTGCGGTTGTGATTGCAACTCGAACAATACTTCTCATGTTTTATGGCAGAATACACTCGGAGGTTTGTCATTGTTTGCCGAGCGGCGACCGCATTAGAACTTTTTTTGGATTCGAACCCAAGCAATGATGGATGGTAGCACCCACTTCTAACCACCACAGCGGCCGCCCAGTTTTATTAAACCAACTTAAAATATTGGGTATCATTACCCCTTTCAAAATGAGATATTTGTTATTTTGTTAAAAGGCTTTTTATAAGAACCATCATTATTTCACCGCTCCGATAGTTTAGTTTTGTAAGATAAGCCAAAACCCAGACGATATCACCAACGTCATGACGTGGGCCACNGGGCGACCGCATTAGAACTTTTTTTTATTTTTTGTGGTGTCGGAAACTGGACTCTAAGCCAGACACCGATGGATGGTAGTGCCCACTTCTAACCCCTACACCACAGCGGCCGCCCTGTTTGGTTTTAATAAACCAACTTAAAATATTGGGTATCATTATCCGTTTAAAATGAGATATTTGTTATTTTGTTAAAAGGCTCTTTAGAAGAACCATCATTATAGTTTAGTTTTGAAAGATAAGCCAAAACCCAGACGATATCACCAACGTCATGACGTGGGCCACCTAGCGGATTAATTCGTATTTCATGTTGCATCGTGTTCGGGTTCTGAGCTACGTTTGAAATTGCAAATCTTATGGGGAAGTTGGTTGGAAATTGATTGCAAGATTTGACCCAAACCAATACTTACATACATACATACAAAGCAAGTAAAAATACTTATTAGTTAATACAAATAAATATGCACCCCTTTATTACTAAATGATTGATTAACTAAATTATGGTGTTTGGATGTTTACATAGATACTAAATAGTTTTATATCCTCATAGGCTATGTAAGCATTTTTTGCTGGTATATCGCCATTCATTCAAATTTTTGATGCAATATTTGAGCATTCGAGTGTCCAAATAGCATCTCATCGTGTTCTTCTATTTGTGAAGTGCCGTTGTCCGTTTCCTTTTGCTTCCGTTTGAATAACTTCTGCCATACTTTGCCTATCAGTGACTGTGGTGGCGCATCTTTATGCTCCACAACTATACGCTTTGTAGCAACGCTATGGATTGGCCCAAAAGCCAAAGCAACAACTGTACAAGCTAGACAAATGACGTTGTATGGCATACTAAAATCGGGTGTCGGTAATGATAATATAAGCGATTCTGTGCGAATTTCCAGAAAATATGACGGTCGCGATGCATTGAATGAGTCAGCAAAAAGGTATTTATCCACAGGAATGGTGGAGTAGTTGCGACCAATCGGTAGCTGAGTAGTGATTATTGCCGATCCTAGGTAGTGTCCATGATTCGCATCGGGTGGATATTCAAGCCATTTTAGGAAAATATAATCAAAATCAAAAGAAACTTGCACTGTACTCCTTGGTGGTATTTCAAAAACCAATTCCAAGTGATAGGGACGCACTCGCTGTACACCAGGTATGTAGTGCATTACAAGTGGTCGTATTCTGTAGTCCGCACCGTTTTCCTTTTGAACAACTAGATTAAGCGTGTGCATATAGGATGGTACAAACCATGGTATGTTTTCTTGCAGCACGATAGGCAGCTTAGAATAGTGCTTATTTGTTACTTGCGTCACTATTTGGCCTCTCTCCTGACCATGTCCAAGTATGTAACGATGTGCGTATATCGGAGGTGAAGGAGTTATGAGAATAGCTGGATTGCTTTTGCGACTTATCCAGGCTATGTTAAATAGTTTATCTGCATCTAGACGTTGAATATCATAAACTCCATAAGAAGTAGTGGTACCCCCACGCTTCGATGTCAAATTATGCATTGGGGTTGGTGTTAAATCGTAAGGTTGATCATCCAGATTTACATAAATTTTACTACTTTTAGACAGTGAACAGTACCCATTCAAACCCTGGCCAAAGAGACGTCGTAGCGAAAAATCTCCATTCGTGCCTAATAGTTTCGGGTCGTATACCAGATTGGCTGTTTCTGTGAATTCTAAAATACAGTTTTTATTATACGATTCACATATCGTTCTCATTTTAATGCCCAAGGAGTGATAATTTGTATTGTGCACGTAACCGGAATTGAGTAAAGAGGCGAAACCCTGTTTACTATTACAAGGTAATAATTTTTTCCACGGTGTTAAATTCTCGGTACAAACGATTTCTCGCGGCAAACTTGCATATCGTATATATTGTGGTACATTTACCTTACTGCCGATAACGAATTGAGGGCGGAAACTAAACTTTGGCTCTACACTATTNGATTCTCGGTACAAACGATTTCTCGCGGCAAACTTGCATATCGTATATATTGTGGTATATTTACCTTTCTGCCGATAACGAATTGAGGGCGGAAACTAAACTTTGGCTCTACACTATTGGTTTTGTCAATGAAATTCAGAGAAGCGCACAGAATACCGGAAAACGTGCTGGCCAGCTTTGTCCACTGATCATCCACTTCGCTTGTTGTCAAATTTTCTCCCGCAAACCATGCCCACATTTCTGCACCTGGTGCAGCGTCCACCACAGGAAAACCAAAAGTTTCATACCTCCAAAGTCCCTGAGTTAGACCGATATGCAGTTCCTTAACATCGTAAAGCAGCAATGTTTCAGCGATCGGGCGAGGTATAAGCTGTGTGTTGTGTACTAAAAGAAAAAAATTAGCTTCAAATTGTAGATAGGTGTAAGATGTACCTACAATTTTCCCTATCTCCATAATGCCAACGAGTGGTGAACTGAAAAAATGTGTTTACATATCCATTTGCCATAGGTCGTACATAGAGCTCCTCATGAAATTCACTAGACTCTTTCACGGCTCCAATAGGCGAAGCAAGTAGAGGGATAAGGTAAATAATACTGAAACGTCGCAACATCTCGACGAGATTTTTAACATATGCGCTACACGTAAAATTAAACAAGAATATCCATCCTTGAAAATATAAAACAATTGGAATGCCGGCTGATTAGGAATGCTAACGATACATCGATGTACCGGCAAAAAACATCGATGTTTTTAACGATTAATTACCGATGTATCGATGTTATTTTTGTCGAAATCGAAACGTAAGGAAATATTTTGGGGGCTTTAGATTGGTAACCCCAGAGTACAGCATTAAGGAAAATATGGCAGGTAGAGGGAGGTCTAACAGTTCCCTGTATGAAGTTTCAAAGCGCACACCCTTATACTTTTTAAGGAATTTGTTATAAAAGTTTGTAATTTTAACCAACTTGTATGGCACTATTTTACAATATATAATGCACTTTCCACTAAATTTACAGGTTATTTACATTCAATATATGCGCAGTTAGAGTGTGCACGTTCAAACAAATACTTTTAGTATATTACAGCTTTTTTATCAAAAATTGATTGTTGTTTAATTTTATGACAGTACATCACGGTACAGCGAACAAAGGTGGCGCCGTCAGTAGTACCGCTACTTTGGTTTTGCCGATTTTGACAGTTGTGGTAACTTGTAAATAAACCTTTGTTTACAAATCAGCGAAAGAGAAATTTGAATTATGAGTGAAAAATGAATTTAAATTGTGTTAATTTGCAATTTTTGAGTTGAAGACTGCGTTAAAACTAATAAAATGTAGTGCTGTGTGTTAAATTGCGACAGCCATCAAGATACAAGATGCGTACATAGGGCACGGCAAAGCCGTTCCCGAAATGTTTCTTTATTATTACATTAACAACATTTCCTCACAATGATTTTGCTTCTGCTCCAAGCAGCCTCCATTAGCAAGTTAACTAATCAATCCCGCTGTGATGCTGCCGCAGTTTTCTGCAGCAGCTTTAATTGCAAAGCAATGGAGTGCACTAAAACGTTACCTTTTCTCTAATAGATTAGGTGAAAAATGCAATATTTTCGCATTTAGCAAAATTAAATCACGTTTTTCGCTGTAAAGTGAACTCCTTTGGCAGTTTCAACTCGTTCTTCTTTTCGCTCTATTCTTTGTTTACTTGTGGACCAATGTCAACGCCCAGGATGGCGCAATCTTGTATTCTATCATTCTTGTATCAGGATCATATCATTGTTATTGAATTTGCGTGCAAAATTGTAATGCGGATCCCGATTATTGCCCAAGAAAACATGGCTAGTGTTGCGACAGAGTTGCATTGGCTTCAGTTTATTCAGTGAAATCGCTGGCGAAATTTATCAGAAATTAGTAAACTAGTTTCCATACAAATTTTGACAGTTCATTTATAAGGTTTACACAATTATAAGTTTATACGGTTTACAATGCATTTATAACGTTTGATGAATACCCTTAGTATTATATTCACAAATTGTGGAAAAAGTCTATGCATTTAAAATAATAACAATCAAATTTTTATTGACTATCGTAAATATTTTTATATTCACTTACTACTTACACTCTTTGACTTTGAGTAAATTTTTCCAGTAGATACCAGTTACGGGTTAAAGTTGTTTTGCTTGTGAGCTGTATTAATAAAAAAGGCAAAGGCCTCCATGTGACAATGATTCTCCCACTTTTTTTTAAGAACATTTTTATTTTAAAGTTTTACTGTTTGTGTAATTTACACTGGCGTTACGTGACGGACGTATGACAAAATGTAAAAAAATTAAAAAAGTGAAAATTTTAAAGTTTTTCTAGATTTTCACAGCAATTAAATGTCCCCTTATTCAATAAAACTTACAACTATTGGTAGTAGCGATTTCAAGATATTAGTAAACATACGCGCTAGCGTGACGTTACGAAAAACAGAAGTGGATTTTGACTTGGGTTACAAAATTTCAAAACTTTGCGAATTGAGCAATACTCTTCATATATAAGTTTATGTAGTAATATTGGAAATTTTTAAGGTTAATTTTCCAGGTCTTTAAATGTAGAAATCTTGAATGTAAAAGTGTGTTTGCCTTGTTCAACTTTGCGTTCAACATTTGCGTTCAACTCAGCGCAGGGTTGCACGAAAAAAAAGTTGAATGGCTAAAAATATCAAAATATGAAAAAATATCAAAATATTCGCCATAAAAAGGTGTTTGCATTGTTCAACTTTGCATTCAACTTTTGGTTGAATGGCCTTTCAACTAATCGCTTTCAACAAAGTTGGTCGCCAGCCAACATTTAGCCATTCAACTTTTTTTGCGTGCAACCCTGCGTTGAGTTGAACGCAAAGTTGAATAATGCAAACACAATGCAAATTTCCATTGAAAAAGTTTTGTTAATATTGTTGCCCCACCGAACGAGACCATTTTTTGGCAAATATGTTTCTGCTTACATAACCAGTATATATTATAAATAGTAGCTAAATCGGCCTATAAATAAGTTAGATAGAGGACTTTTAATTTTTTTTTTACGCGGTAGACTGGAATCACCCATATGCGAAAAAAACCAAGCCCTGAATTATTCTCATATTTAATTATAGTTTTATTGGTAACAGTAGCCACACACGACAAACAAGTGCGCGCGCATGCTTGGCTTGCGGTGCATGTTCGTGCATGCTTGCCAAAAATCAAAAAATAATAGGGGTCTCCGTCAAAAATGATGAACTGTTGATAAACTTGATAAAATTATAAATTTTTCATTTTGATAAATGAACTGTCAAACTTTAGCTTTTGATTTTCAGTGAGCACGCTCGTCGTTTGTGGCGTGGTCTGCGAACATTGCATTCGAAACAAAAAGAACAACCTCATTTTGTGTTGATGCTTACAGTGTGCACATCGCGGATAAATGCATCCAAGCCATGCATGAAGAATATTACAACTTTTGTTCGTTGTGTTTGATCAAAACATTCTCCATAAATTTCTCTAGAAATGCACATACATGTTTTCGTCACAGTGGCTCTATTGGAGAATGTTATAGAAAATACACACTTTGACAGCGCTCTCACGAGAAAAAGAGTTTCATATGACTGCGTTTATACACGGAAACTTTTGTCATTTCATTTACACACGACGATTTTTGTGTATGCAATTGTTGTTGTCACCTGTGAACCGCTAACTCAATTTACACAGACGAACGAGAGCACAAAGCGTGTTGCCCGAGCACGAGCTCGAGATTTCAAAACTTTCGGCGGGCGCTGTAGTGTAGGGGTAAGCAGTGCGCGCTTACACTCCGCAGGGCCTGGGTTAAATCCCTGGTCAAAGCAACATCGCAAAAATAAAGAAAAAAAGGTTTTTTCTTAACAGTGGTTGCTCCTCGGCAGGCAATGGCAAACCTCCTAGTGTATTTTGGCCATTTTGTTTACATATATTTTAACATAGTTATATTTATATTTCGTCGTGGTAAGTTTCGTTTTATTGTTTTATTCATCACGAAAATGGTAGCAACGATTCTTTGATTTTTTTTTACTAAAAATCGAATGCCACTCAAAAGGTAACGTTTTTGGTCACCATCTAACCTCAACTTTTTGTTTTTACACATAAACAACGGGTTTATACCGACTCTTGCTTAACAAAGTAAAGAAATCGAAGGCTGGTGCAGGCGTGCAACAACAGCCATGGTGAAATTATAAACAGGTGAAATAATAAAACAGCTTTCTGACTTTATTTCCTCTATTTTCTTGGCATTCGGCTATTTTATAAAAAATTTCAAATAGGATAGTGTCATATATCCCTCTTCTCGCTCATTACTACACTCCACCATGACAACAGCACAACAATATTAAAAAATCTTAACAAAATAGTGGGTATTTAACGACAAGGTGGCTTCTGGGAAAAACAAAAAAAAATCTAAATTGAGAATTGTTTTTTTTTTCAAGGACACTTTTATCAAGTTTAAAAATTAAATTTGCGTTCATTCAATTACACAAGGGAACAAAAGTGGGAAAATATGTGTCTCGTGTTATTTACATGCACATTTATGATTGCCTCTTTAGCCAGCTATCATAGCATAAGGAAAGTTTTATGAACAGCAACTGCCAAGTAAATAACACAGCTTCAAACTGTTATTTGTGTGAAAATTTCTCCTTCAATTCCAAATAAATTTACGTAGCTTTAACTGAAAAATAAAATCCGCTTTATTAAAATCACTTACGTTTATAACCACATACAATAAAGTGAATACATACAAATATAAAACTTAATTGAGTAGGGAGACTAAATCCAGATGTCTTCATAGTAGAAGTAGCCTTCTTGGTGCAAGATATATCCATTACAAAACCAACGTCGGTCGGATGCTCATCTTCTCGTCGTCGCAGGATCTGTAATTTTTTTGAATAATCAAAGGAGGGTGTGCATTAAAGGTTTTTTTTTTTTAATAAGGTTCGTAAGTTTTTGTTTGGTGCCAGTTTTAAGATTAGGAAGAGGATTTCCATGCATTAATCTAAAACTGAAAATACGGAGCTATAGTTTTTTTTTATTTATTGAAAGCACGAACAACAATAACAATAAAATACATAAATATGTATACTAAATGACCCAAACTTTAAAAAATTGACAGTAATACTTATATTTCTTATGCAGTTTTCCGAAACTTTACATAGATGCAGCTTTGTAGCCCATTAAATTTTAGTATAATAAATTGCAAGCTTTAATTGGGCAAGATTCGCGTTGACTTTTGAGACTTTTTTGTTGTGGGTGTTTCGCCTTATTTTCCTTTAAACACATGCTCAGTTTTTTTATATGGAAGAAAATGAGCCATGCCGCCAGCGATTGTTTTTTTTTAATCAACCCAATCACTGTAATGTATGCATAAATGTTCGTTTTACTGAAAGCGTGCGTAAGTATTCAATTTATTTTAAATATGCAAAAATGTGTACAATCAAATGGATGTCACGTTAAAGAAAATTTTTGAATTCACAAAGATATTCTGCCTTATCCTGAGTTTCGCCTGAAAAAAAAATTCACCCGAAAATTTGTCATCCGCCCAAAATAAAACCATGGAAACCGAGAGTGAAAAGTGAACCGGTTCGGGGAAAATGAAACTCATGATAAGGCTGATTTTATTTATTTTGTTTACCAGATGTTGAAAAAACATGAATTTGAATGGAAATCCGCTTGATACATATCACTTCAATTGAAGAGATTTCTTAAAATCGAAAGATTTTTCAATAAATCAAAATAAATTTGGCAACACATACTTTACAACCTTATACATTATGACCTCACGTGTGCAAAAGCAATACTGTGAGCGGCTATTTGTGAGATAGTTTGCCATAAAAATATAATATGCCTCTTTGTATAAATAAAAACCAAAAAATTGTTCTTCAGCATTTGTTTTAATTTTGCTTCATTTCAATTTTTCATTTCCTCGTTATTTTATCTTTGAATTCAAGTTTTTAATCAATAAATAAAATTTGTTTGAAATTCAATGCAAAAAAATTACCTTGCTTCGACACTCGTCATATTCTACTTTTGCATGGACTGTGAACAGTTTAACTGATTTTTTAAGCTTATGGATATTTCAATTTAATTACGGTAGCAGCTCTTACAATCAATGACTAATGATTTTACCTTATCCTGTTTCCGAGAAATTTGCCTACCATTACGCTGAGTTCGGATGTGAATCGTTGTGGATTTGTATACATACATATACAAAAGCGCACATGTCATATGTATTCCCCAGTACTTATTTTTATTAATAAAATACGGGCAATGAAGTGCCCTTTTACTGTTTTACAGGATCAGAATGGCAGAAAATTCATTAGTGCTTTTAACATTAACATATATTAACCCCTACTAAATCATGGTAAGATCCATACATTTTAAGGAAAAATGCTGTATAGCACGTGATGTAATTAAAATCACATTTCCTAATGATTTTCTTTTCGTTTCTGGCGGCTGTTGCTCTCAGCTGTTTTGCCAAAAGTCATTAATCGGCTGTCAACATCCGTATTAAGTCAAAAATAGCAGAGTTGCGTTTTACTACATGAAAACTTCAGTAAGTGTTGCCAAGGCAAAACGTTACAATTGATAGACGCAAAGTTCAGTTCAGGTAGTTTTTCTTCAAACGACAATAGTTGGCAGTACTATTTTACTATAATAGATAAAAATATCATGTTTCTTTTACCACAAAAATTAGCTAATTTCAATATCTGCTTTTATCCCTACCAATCGAATAGATTTGCTTTTAATAGCGTACATACAAGTTCTGCCGTTTAATCACTTTCAGTGTTGCCATTGTAGTTGGATGTCAATAGTGACAGCTAGCAGCAGACGACCGCTCCATTTTTCGGCTACGCTACGCGACAGAATCGAAACGAACGACAGAACGAATATGAATCGCCTGCCTGGTTAGCTGAGTTGTAGCATAGTACAAAATGGCCACAACACTCCGGCGATGGCTGTGTCGTTCGTCGTTCGTTGCTCGTTGTGTGTCGTACGTGCGCTCGCTCGCTCATCGCTCTAATTAAAATTTAACATTATATTTTAATTAATTGAACAAAAAACTCTAGTTCTAATAAAAAAAGAAAGTGTTAAAAGCACGTTCATTCTAAAACGCCAGCCGATATTACAACAACAAGAACAACACAGCAAATGCTTAATCGGAGTTACAAATATACTTTTATGTAAATACTTTTCGCTTTCATTTATAATTATTATGCGTTTCCAACGAGAATACGATTTTCAGATTTTCACCAAAGTAAGCACACTACACCAAACTGCGAAAAAATAGGGCAGTTGAACCATTTTTTCCTAAATTACGTATAAAATATATGAATATACATATATGTATACTTATATGACTAATCAAAGTGAGATTTAGTTCCACAGTTTTTTTTTCAACATTTTATTGCATATCAATAATTAAACACAAAGCCATTTTCCGCAATATCGCACCAAATGTTAAAATAGTGTATTTTTAAGTTTTGAGCAAAATTGAACTTGGTTCTTATGAAAACAATATAGGCACAGCACGTTACAAAAAATTAAAGAAAATTCACGGAAGACGGTGAAGGCAAGAAAATTTTCTACTCGTAAGACGGAAGGTCTACGCAGTGAAACGACGACGGTTTCTCGTGCTCGTCGCTGAGCCAAAAATCAACTGTTCCTCAAGTCGCGTTCGAATTGTTCGCTCTGCGAGACGCGGCGCGGCACGAACTGCACTCAGTGCAAAGCGTTAACCGCCACAAAGGTGTGCAAAAGCCACCACAATACATCAGAATCAAAAGATTCAATAATGCGGCGCTGCAAACGAGACCGCAGCAGTTGCGTTCCGGAGAGTTAGACTACTCTCTGGAATGGAATTAATAGTGCGCGCGCGAGAGAAAATTTAATGTGCGCGTGTATGAGTTAATGTGCTGAAAATTAATACTTGTAAAAGAAGAAGCACCACGCTCGTTGTTGACGCTGACATAGCGACATCGGGTTAAATAATATATTACTTTCGCGTATATAAATCGCAATTTTTTTCTAAATTACTGTTATTTTTTTATCGTTTAGAGTGGTGATAATTTATATATTTGTAACGAATTTTCCAAGATTTTGGGAAATTGAAAACACAAAAAGTTGCAAAACTGTGTTTATCGTCGTAGTCTGGCACTCGAAAGCATCAATAAACCCCACACCCATCGTTTCAATGAACAATAGCTGCGGCAACTACTACGGGGAAAGCTGAAAACGATGACCAAGAAAATCCATACAACTTTATCATAATTTGGTTAAATAAATGAAATAAAGAGGTGAAGTGATTCTCATTTTCTTTAATCAAATATTTTGAATCCAAATAAATATCTTTTCGTAAATTGTTATATACATACATATACATGTAAATTAAAAACGTATATGTGTGTAGTTTTGAGTTTAATTATTTATTGCCTTTGTATAATCTAGTGCATAAGTTGATTGCTCGATGATTCATTGCAGATAATCGGAAAAGTTGATGAATAAAATTTTTCGTTGCATTTTGCTTCTTACAGCAAAAAAAAGCAGAAAAATAAATGTAAAATGCATTCTTTTATTTAATATTTTCGCTAAGGCTGAATTTGCTTTGAAAGAGCGGAAATGGGACAAAAGTTTTTATCATCATGATATTTAGAGAAAATAATACGCAAATAAACGTAATTGAAAATGCACAAAAAAGGAAGAAATTGTTTTGCTTCTCGTCGTTTCGGACGAATGAGTCTCATTCACAGACGGAATGAAAATGAAATCGTTATTTCTGTCGCTTTCTGTCCACTGGAGTCGAAGTATGATTGACCAAAGAGCAATTTGCATACATATATTATTGTCAATTTTTACTGACTCGCCGTTGTACCTGCAATCTCTAGTTACTCTCCCTGCGCGAGTAGTTTGTCGCTTGTCGGATGAGTTGTTGCTTTGTCGCTTTCGCTAACTGTTTATTAGCGTGCATACTTTTGAGAAAATGAGCTTGAATGCAAGAGAGTCCTATATACACATATCCATATATATGCATGTTTATTGAGGGAAAAATTAGTACGCCGATACATTTTTTACTACAAAAATGAGAGGAGTTCGTGGTCTAGGTTTGACCATCGATTTCGTCATACATTTATATGTATGACTGAATAATAGAAAACGATATTGAGATATTTAAGTGAATCCTCTACAGACTTATGGCGTTTTATTTTCTACAAAAAAATGTAGCCTTTTCATTGCCCTTTCCTTAGTATTTGTGCGAAGAGGGCACTGAGAACTCGACATTTTTTCGGTAGAAAAGAAACGCCATTAGTCAATTGACAAGAAGTAAAGTTATGCTTGAAATAGACGTCTCTATTCACTTGTGACGTAATTCCTAATAAATTTAATGAACCATGTATAAAACACCCATACATTCTTTTCAAATCTTATAAGCGCGCATCCAGCTTGTTAGCATAGATTTTGTATATTTAAAAAAGCTATATTGTATTTTGAGCTTCAAAACTCTTGTAATGTCACTGATTGGCATCGTCACCGTATATACATATGTACATACCTACCCTCCCGATTTTTTCTAAATTTAACTGCATACATAAGTAAAGTTCCTTAGTTCGCAATTGCAATGCCTTCTTGCTTCATTCTCATGTGCTGCATACAATCAGTATGGTGTATGCGCTTTGTAAATATACACACCAAAAATACCGAGTTCAAGTTGTATGACAAAAAAATCTTGAACGAATAACAGAAAGAACATTCGCACACATTCGTAATCAAAGCGACGTGAGGCTACAGTTGTTGCTAACGGTGGAAGGAGAGGTAGCATTTTTACGTCAACCACACCGTTTTAGTGCCACCAATAAGCGCAATATATCCCCTCCAACGAATTTGGCGCTCTGTTCGCAGCGTGTACACACGCCGCAGACGACTGAACTCATCGTTCAAATAGAAACGCAGCCATGAGTGTGGATCGGTACTAGCCAACTGTTTCGTGCCGGCAACAACGAACGCGACAACAATAGAATTTATTTCAGGTTTATCGTTTAGAAAGCCAGCAAGACTTGATGAGAGGGATTTTTTTCGAGAGAAAATGTCTGTGACGAGAAACGAGCGTACGAGCGATTNGTGAGAGCGATTTTTTTTCGAGAGAAAATGTCTGTGACGAGAAACGAGCGTACGAGCGATTGGGAGATTTAAATATGTATACTGAATTACATGAGCATAGGTAAAGTAGCTAGTGGATTAATCTTCATATTTGTATATACATAAATATGTACATACATTTTTATGTCTTGACGTTCATGTGTAGTAGGTATACATATTTATATTCTTACGACCGTCTAAAATATGTATGCCAATTTTTCTTTTCTTTGCTTTTTGCAATGCCCTTCTTTTTTGGCGTAGTGCCTTTACTTCACTTGACCCTTTGCGATAAAATAGAAAAAAAAAAAACTAAAATAGCCGATTAATAATTATGTCCCTGATTCAGCTTAGACGTAAATAACAAAAATAGTTCAGCGGAAAATAAAAGAAAAATCGCAGCATTTTCACATTGAATTGAATCACAATCTCATCAGCTCTCTTTATTCACCATTATAGTGTAGCCTGCTCTCTTTTACATTGAACTTAGTGATGTAATTATCTACAAAAGGAAGTGGCTCACATACCGATTATATGTATATGTGGGCGTGAACATTTATTGCAAAAATATATATGGACGGAATAAGAAATAAATAATTAATGTATTCGAACAAGAAGTTAACCATTAAGTTTAATTTAAATTATTCAGCAAAATACGAAAAGTGCATTAAGTCGTTCAGTTACATGCCAATGTATACATATACAAATATAAAGCTTCATTTGAAATATATGTATGTACATTATGGTGGTCCAAAAAGGCATGTGAAAAAGTGAAGTCGAAATTTGTATGCTCTCTCCCCCTAGGATTGTACTATATCGAAAAAATATACCCCAATTTTTTTTTTTTGAAATCAGAAAATATTTAGAGGTCGCTCAAAGTTTTCCATGTATGGGGAAGAAAAACATTTTTCGTAGAAATGGTATAGAATTAATAATACTCAATTAATTATTTAACCACTTTTTCATAGTGACTATATTTTATAGGTCCACCAAAACCACCATAAAATGCAATGGGGGATAAATAAAAAATCTTTAGTACTAAAAAATTTTTAATAAACAATTGAGTATTGTTATTGGAAGCCTCCTGAAGAGAATTGATTTTCAAGAATTCTAAACCATTTCTACGAAAAGTTGCTTTCCCCATATAAAATACATGGAAAATTTTGCTGGTGGGAGAATTAAATTTCCGACTTTACTTATTTTGAACCACTCTAATGTACATATGTATATACAATCTATAATCCACATTTCCGCGCTTATGAGTATTTAATTTTGAGCGTCAAATTTTCCTCAACAAATGACTAAAATTTATTGTTTTTGACAGGGGAGAGATCATTAAATTTCCGACTTTACTTATTTTGAACCACTCTAATGTACATATGTGTATACAAATTATTATCCACATTACCGCGCATATGAGTATTTAATTTTGAGCGAAAAATTTTCCTCCACAAACCCCAAATCAAAAACAGTCACAACTCAAAATATCCTAAACGTGTAGAAGAGGCAAAAAACTAATAGGGGTCTTCATCATAAGTGATAAGCTGTTGATAAACTTGATAAAATGATAAATTTATCATTTTGATAAATAATTGTCAAACTTTGTATGGAAATCTATTTAACCAAAGTTTATCACTTTATCAAATGACTTTGGTGGATAAATGTATAAATTTCAGCAAAGTTCAACACTGCCAGATTGCCAGGTGGTCGCTTTTGCTACGTACACATAAACAGCAAATGAACACAATGGACGGGGTAAAAATCAAACACAACTTTCCATATAAGTCAAATAATAAATAATTTTATGCAACTATTTACCAAGGTGCGTTCAAGAAAGAATGCGGATAATCTGATAAATTTAAGCAATTTATCCCTTTCTCACTTTAGATGAAGACCCCTAATGCTGCGCAAGTATGTACATCCTCATGCATACGTACTTGCATAAGTATGACGTCTGTCTAACATGTGAATATACTCATACATATGTACATACGTAGTAAAAACACGTGGACACAAAACGCACGTGCCGCTACATTTTTTTTTTAGAAAATAT